TGTGACTTTAAATAGAAACTAAAGTCCTGTTAACATACAGGCTCTTCTTCCAGAGAGTCCTGGAGAAAATGGGTTAAAAAATAAAAACAGAAGCATGTAAGTATTAATTAAAATAAAAAATGTGCTTTTAATGCAAAATAAAAACAAATGTTCTATGATAGAGTATGTACAGCAGTCTCTCGTTTATCGCGGGGGATTCGTACCCTGAAGCCCCGCGATAAGTGGAAAAACAGCGAAGTAGAAATAGTAGTACAAGAAGTAAGTAGTAGTTTATTTTAGTATTTATATATATATATATATTTATATTTATATATATGTATATAAAGGTGTTTTAAACCCTTCCCACACTCTTGCAATATTCTAAACAATGTTTCTAAACTCTTAAGAGCCCAGATTGTCATGATTTCAGCTCTCTGCCTCTGCTGCTCTCAGCCACCTGCAAGAGTTCTTGGCCACGCCCACTTCTCAGCTCTGCGCGGAGATCAGCTGATCAGCTGCAGCACGAAGCTTATCCTGCAGTGCGGGCTGCACAAAGGTGCAGGAGGTGCTAAATCGTTTAAAACAATTTATTTTAAATAAAAATTTCATGCCGATAGTGCGGCTCATCCATTGTGGGTCATGTTCAATCTTATTTCGAAAAACCTCGATAGAGCGAGTTCGCGAAAACGAACCATAAGTAGCGAGGGACTACTGTACATAATTAAACAAATCCAACCTGTTTTATAGTAAAAATACTGAGTAAAATTTACAAGAATTTATTTTTCTAAAATGCGTTGGATTTATTGTTTTCTGCTTGTCTGTGTTTTTATGTTTTCAACCTATTAACTGTCTTGTTATGCAAGAAAAACAAATTATTTTGAAAGTATGAATAAAAAATTGTACAAAAACAACTTTTCCCTTATCCAACCATCAGTCACAGAAATGCAATAAATCCTCTCATCTTTAAAACCCTTAAATAGACAAAGCAACCCAAATATCCCATTAAAAAAAAGAAAGTATCAAACTTGCATTGAGTCAAACCTCTAATGCATAGTAAACTGGAAAAAAAAACCCAACAGCATTTGTGTTTGAAGCGTATAAACCTGTATGTGTGTAAAAAAACTATGTGTGTCTGCTAAAAATAAAAGTGCCAGCCACTTCAGACAATGACACAACAAATATTCTTCGGAGATCGTAGACGTCAGAGATTTTGGACGAGGTTCAGACTCAAAGACAAAGAGACAAATTTAGACTTTTGGTTTGCTGTCTGAGAGGGAAACGTATCCATCACCTTTTGGGCCAGAGATATTTCAGGACACACCGGAGACATAAAAAAGTGAAACAAACGTGGGGAAAGGACAAGCTCAGAAAGGCCGCGGGTTTGACAGAAAACTGGACATCGTCCACGACGGAGGTGAAAATGCTGTTTTTACAAACGTGTTGGGGAGCCTCTGGAAATGTACAGTCCAGCGCTTTTAACATTAAATCTGTTGAACTGATCTACACTGCAGAAAGTCAATATATGCAAAGATTTAAACCATGAACCATAAACACTGGACCGTGATGAAATAGGAGCAAAATGACACAATCTATATACTTCCTGCTAAACTGAAGGAGAAGCAGGTGCAAAAAAAAAAAAAAAAACAGGCCCCAGGTGTGCAGGAAAGCAGAACTTGAGAAATGAAACAAGAAACTGAGCCATGTGTTTTTCTTTTGTTTAAATATAAGAGCCAACAGAGAAGCAATGAAGTACAAAATTCTGAAAATCCAAACTCAGAGTCTGACTGAAAAGCTAAACTTAAGACTGCCTGAAAATAAAACAGACAGGAAACCATAAAAAAAACAACAAACCAGAACATTTTTGTGTGTAAAAGTCAAAACTATAGAGATATACATACTATTTTATTGAAGATGAAATATAACAGGTGATATATTCTAATCTTACCTCAGATTTCAAATAGACTCATTTTATTTTTCTACTTCAGAAAATATCCATACGTTTGTATTGATTTAATGTTTAAATTTGATTAAGACAATGTCAGATTTCTCAGAGACCAACCCGCTGTTCAGCAGCCATCTATATATATATTTTAGACAGCGTGGAAACTATTTAAGGATAAAATCTGAGGTCAAACAACAAAAGATCAGACAAGGAAAATATAAAAACCACGACCAGATAAAGGATGTACACAAGAAAAAAATTATTCAGGACAGCAACAGTAGCTGTTCTTCGCTCCACATCAAAAACTTTAAATTCACAACAAACACACACACAAATAACAACACATAAAATAAATAAAAGCTTAGAAATGCATAGACTGTAATTCAAAACTAAAAGTTTTAGCATTTTTTATCATTTCTTGAAAATAACGTTTTGCGATTGCAAGATCTTACACAATCCGGTATGTGTTGACTCTCAGCTACTACCACTCCAATTTTGAGTTTAATATCTGTAAAGTTTACCATGTTGTAGCGATGTCGCTGCTTTATAAGAGCTGTTAACCTCGGCAACTTGAATGACTGTATTTTTCGGACTATAAGGCGCAATATCAATGAATGGGTCTGTTTTCATACATAAGGTGCTCATAAGATGAACGGCTTCGGATGTTATCAGCCATTAAATGGCCGTTATTAGTTGTTATCATCCCCATATATAGTGGTGAGACTGTCCCACCTACCTTCTAGTAGGTTTAAAGGTACGTTATTATCGTTATTATTGCTGAAAATAGGCAGCGCCGCAGGGGGTAAACCAGGAAGTGGGTTTTTTTCAGCTTATGTAACCCTTTTCCTAATCCTAACCTTACACCTGACCCAGAGAACCAGCCCTAAACCTAACCCCCAGACCCTTTCCTCTGAACCTAACCACGTGAGCCTATTATGAGCGCTAACAACGGCAACAATTTACCTTTAAACCCACTAGGAGGTACAAGAGGGGCATACATATGGGGATGATAACAAGTAATAATGACCATTTAATGGCTGATAACATTCGAAATGGGTGATAAGGCACATTAAGCGAAACTAAAACATTTTGACAGATTTTTGAGCCCCCACCTCCTTTCTGACTGAGGCCCCAATTATTTGTCAAGCACCAAAAAATCCACAGGAAGAAGAAGAAAATGACGAGGAAGTTGAAAGAAGTTTGACGACAATAGAGCCTGAGTGAGTACAGTAGTCCCTCGCTACTTTGCGCTTCGTTTGTCGTGGACTCACTCTATCGCGGTTTTTCAAAGTAAGATTGGACATGACACACAATTGGCTGATTGATGGACGAGCCACACGATCAGCATGGAATTTTTATTTAAAATTAAATATTTTAAATTATTTAGCACCTGCTGCACCTCTGTGCAGCCCACACTGCAGGAGAAGCTTCTTCCTGCAGCTGATCAGCTGATCTCCGCTCTGCAGCAGAGAAGTGGGTGTGGCCAAGAGCGCTTGCAGGTGGCAGAGTGCAGAGGAGGCAGGGAGCTGAAATCGTGACATTCTGTGCTCTTTTAGAGCTTTAGAGTTTAGAAACATTGTTTAGAATATTGCAAGTGTGGGAAGGGTTTAAAATGCCTTTATA